CACTCCAACTTGGAAAGCCTCTCCAACACTACTCCCTCTAGCTATGCTGTCTACTCCCCGCCCCACCCCACCCGCCAATTGGACTCAGGAAAATGCTAGGGCACGTCTTAGTGAGATGAGATAGGGGGGTATTTTTTTTCACCCTGCCCGAAATGTTTGTTTCCCTGCCCGAAAAAGCGTATGCCTGATCCGACCCTCAAGCGTATGGCGTATAGACGCTAGCGTATATACGATACGCATATATACGCTAAACGCGTATCATAGATGATGACAACTCCATCCTGCACCGCCTCACTACTCCCTCAACTTGCACTCCACAAGTTCATCCACTCCTACATCCTTCACCTTTCCAGCCCTTGCCCTCCCTCCCCTCCACTCGACGTTGCTTCTCTCCGCCTTACAGGCAGGCAGTTCACAAGGCGAGGGAGACGTACAGGTCAGTGAGCTCTCTCAGGTTGCTGATGGACACCGGAATTGACCCTTCCAGAGCAAAGTACGTTAAATCACTGCGCCCACACATGCCATGCCATGCCACCACGGGTTTGAAAGAACAGTAAGGAATTAGAGGTGGCACTTAGGATGAGACCGATGTGGAAGTCTTTGTCTTGTCCCACAACATCTCAAGAACTATGCGTTTATACTACAGCATGGGCGTTGTTGCGCTGTGTGGGAATACCCAGACTGCGGATGAGGTGACGTAAACTCACAATCTCAAGATCATCCCGTTCGCGTCGCATTCAAGGCCAGCAAGTTCGCAAAAGAGGCCTAGAATATAGCCGCGGTCGCAGTACAGAAGGTTGCCGTAATCATCATACTCGCAGTAGATGCCTTCTTGAAACATCTGCTCGTGCCATTCAGAGAAATACCGGTTCCATATTGTCTCGCAGTCGCGCAGGAATTGCACTGCACATATTGTGGAAGGGGTAGTGAGTGGGAGGAGGGGTAGGGGAGTGTAGTGTGGCCGGGGGGGGGGCGGGGGGGGTTGGGGGGGGGGGGGGGGGTCGTGGGAAACAAAGGGGGGGTGACGGATGTGGTAGTGATGAGGGGTGGAGAGAGCGCTCGTAGGGATGTGGGAGTTGCTTGAAGGAACACACCTATAGGGAAGAGCACGGACCACACCAGGTTCGGCTCGCCCTGGGCCGGATGAGCGCCTGTCTCGGCGCGAGCCTGGCCGCATATGGAGGGCTTGCAGGCCAAACACGGCATGGCAGAACGCTTTTCGGCCTGACCCGGGCCGGTCCGGCCCGGCCCTGGGTAACTTCACATTATAGTCAAATAGTGGTGACATTTGCAAGGGTGGATTGTCAAAAAGATTCTTTCTGTACATTATCTCCTAACCCTAAGTCGATGCCCCCTGTGGGCTATGGATGAGCAGGCCAGGCGGCTGGGCCTCTGTACATGGCCTTGACATCTAAAAAAAAATGTGTCTAAATCCCCCAGGATACCAACAGGTTACCCCGGGCGGGGATACCCCAACTTGGGAAGATTCCGTCAAGGGTACCCGTTGGTAACTTTGGCAGAAGTCACCTTGCGAGCCCTCGATTGTCATGTAGGACTGGGTGATGGCGAAGCGAGTGGCAAGGGCGGCGAGGCACCATGCGAGCGCTAGCGCGCGCAGCACGCGCTCACGCGCCATCCCCCGGCGGCTCAACGCTGCCGCCTCTGCAGACCCGGTCGGGCACGCGAGGCAGCGCCGCATGCTGCAGGGCTCCGCTGCTCAGCTCGCCGCTGCTCACGATTGCGCTCACTCCTCCGATCCGCTGCTCGACGGACCGCCGGCCACTCGGGACGGGGTTGTGCAAGGGCGCCGCCTTATCTATTAACTACTCTACTTACGCGGCTCAGTGGCGGCGCGACTCGCTGTGTGTTTCCCTGGAAGTGCCGGTGGTACTTCTAGTACTACTCGGTTATCATGAATGAAGCCATCAAGGGCGAAGCTATTCCAACGGGACTACTCGAGGATGATGGTTTCTATTGCTGATGCATGCCCTTCTGGGGTTTATTTTTTTTGCCCGCGGGCAGCGAGCTCCCCTGGGCGGACTCGCTTGTCCGCTGAGATATATTCTTCGGCCCTCCTCAACAGCCAACAGTCCTCGACATGCCTTATCTGCCCCGGGCAGTCGCAAAATTGCTGGACGGACTCAGCCGCCCGTTGACAAAAAAGAAAAAAACCCATTCGGTCAGGGAGGCAGTGTCAGAGGAAGTTGGAAGGATGCGAGCACTGTCAACCAGTGACGAAGTACTGCATACGTGAATGCATGTCAACAGTCATATTTGCTGGTCCACACAAGAAGGAAGTGTGGTCATTCGTTACACCTAGTCCGCGGTAATTTAACCGCCGCTATCTTAACCGCGCGAGGGTACTTCTCCTTGGTCAAACTTTTTTGTACGAGTAGTTTTGAAATTTGTTGAGGGTAGAATCTAGCATACCCTTTGTGAGGCGACGGCAGTCAAAACCTAGTCAATGCCGATCCGCCCTCTATTTCGGAGCACTAAGTGTGAGTTTCTTTAGAAGGAAATGCATCTGGCTGCGAAACAATAGCCTTGAAGTCTCTGGGTGCCCATCTCATTACCCGAAAATGAACAAAGGGTGTTTGAAGCAAAACAGTTCACGTGGTTAAAACACCGCGGACTAGGTGTACGACGTGTTGCGACCCACACGGATTGGGTCGACCACCCCCCGATCCTTCATTTCTAGGAAGGCTGCATCTCGGGTCTAGCCGACCAGGTCGACCCAATGAGGTCGGTTTGGGTCTGCCCGAGCCGGGTCAACCTGATTGGTTCGACGAGTTACACAAGCTAAGCGATCTCGCTAAGTTCTCGTTTCGTGGTCGTGTACCAATTGCAAATCCAGCGAGTCAAGGTGTCTGCGTAACCGTAGGTTTAGCGACCTGTTGACTCTCCGTCACAGATCGCCTAGCCTCCAGGGAAGCCGGATACCAATTGCGCAGTAGGTGCTTCGAGGGTGTGTCGAATTTCTCAGAGACTCTCAGTGGCTCCGAGCCACGTTAGTCGGTTCGAGCAGGTCGACCTGATTCGATCCGATCTCGTTGGGTCGCAACACGTCGTTACTGTCAACATTCATACTTGCTGTCCCTTGTCCACAAATCAGACTACCTGCGTGTCCTCTCCGCGCACCACACATTTCAAGCTGACCTGTCTGGAATCTTCAATATCAACAAGAAACGATCCGAAGGGTTTCGTGTCAGCTACATTTCAGATAATCCAATATACTATACGGATAGATTTATTTATCTATTATTATGGACTATAATACTCAACGTGCTTGACTCCCATTCTTAATTTTTGGAACTGATATTCGCTCTACAGCTGATTATATTGAACCATTATGTTATTGCTTCCGTGTATCTTTGAGGGCCGCTGTGGACATTTTCTCAAAGAAAGTGTCCCAATCACATTTGGCCCGAGTCGCCCTCAAATGTCTCGGGGCTGCATGTCCCAATCGTTCGATGTATTGCGACTCTGCACAGACGCGCGACAATTATATGCGAACTACTCTGATTGGTCAGACCATATAGTGGCCCACTCATCTTGCGAGTCACACGCACCAACACCACCAGGCCCGCAACCGAACCTTGGTGGTGTCCAGGAAGGCCGCAGAGGGATATGTAATTTTCCGCGCCTCCAATAATTGCCACAAAGAGCCGTACAATATCCAGCACGACATTACAAAGAATGGCTAGATAGAGTAAACAAAGCGCACCTTTGACCACTACACGCGCATGACATACGCAAAATGGCGGAGCCTGGAGCCATCCCCTTGATCCTACGCCTACTCGTCGCATGGGTCACCTACTACTACACCATTTTTTGCGAAAGTGTTGCCAAGTCCTTCGTCGGCATGATTGAGGCCGGTGTGATCGAAGACGCCGACGAGCAGTCCTCTTCTCTTGGAGACGACACCGGGAAGAACCGCTGTCACCGAGCCAGAGTACGGCGGCAACGCCATGCGCTGTGGGTTGACGACCTGCAACATATGTGGGAGAACGACTTCCAGGACATATTCAGAATCAACCGCGCCATCCTTGAGCATATCAAGACAGGGATGCGCCAATATCTAGAGCCGATCGTTTATCGGTCATTGATCACAATGGACACTGCGCTGCTCATCCCAATCAAATATCTGGCGAGCAGGATCTCCTTCGTCGACATGTCGTACCTCTTTGGCATCTCCAAAACATTGTGCCACGAGCTTGTCGACGTGTTCCTCACCGAGTTCCCTGCCTTGTTCAATACCGCCTGGGTGCACTTTCCCACGCGTGAAGAACTGCCGGAGATGGCAAGAGAATTTGCCGCAGTCAAAGGTGTACCTGCAGTGGTGGGGGCTGTAGACGGAACACACATCCATATGAAAGGGATGGAAGGGCACCGGTCCGAGTACTGGACAAGAAAGTCGGCCTACGCCGTACAGCTCCAAATCACGTGTGATGCTCGGGGGAGAATATGGGATTACCTCATCGGTTATCCCGGCAGCGCGCACGACATGCGTGTTTTCAAGGACTCTGCATTACTGGAAAGGTTACACAACGGGGACATAACCCCATACCAGATTGCTGGGGATGCGGCATACCCGCTCCGAGAATACTGCCTAACCCCACTGCATGCACCGCGCGGAGAGGATCTAATGGACGACTGGGCCCAAACTTTCAACTACTGCCAGAGCGCCACGCGCATGGCGGTGGAGAGGTGCATTGGCGCATTCAAAGGGAGATGGCGCATCTTCAGCGGGTGCAACGACTGCAGGTTATGGCGCATCCTTGCCGGGGCCGCGTGTTGTGTGATCCTGCACAACATGTGCTAAGACATGGCAGAGGTTAGGCGCACGAACTTGGCCTGGTAAAATCTGCCCCGCAACCGCGACCCATGGTGGACGCGGGGTGCAATCGCGGAGCACAAGTGGGAACCTTGTGTTCCCCCGACACAGCAGGCTCTGAGAGAGAGACGGAAAAGACTGGGCGAAGCTCTGCAAGATTCTTACGCTAATCGTCGGCGCCGCGCACCCATATCTCCACATCGTCATCACCCGGTGTAACGGTGTTGACGTCGCCAACATCGTCGCGCGGCTGGGCGGCTCCGGGAGGTGGCGCGGACTCCCCGCGTGGCGGAGGCGGGCTGAAATCCGTCGTAGCACGGTGCACATCCGGTGGGGCCGATTCAGTCATGCGCTCGCGTGCAAGGCGCATGTCCTGCGCCATCCATTCACGGACGAGACCCTCTATGCGCGTCATCGCGTCACCGTGACAATCTTTGATGGTCGCGGAGACAATCATGGCGGCTTGCATAGTAGCCGTCTCATGAACCCGCGCGCGCTTGGGTGTTCCTGTGTGCTGAGGCGGCGGTGCTGTAACAGAAACGCATAAGAAATTGCATGGTAGATTAGCGCGCATAAGGTTGCATGTTGTTTATGCCGTTTGTTGCAAAACACATACGCGTTGCCCTTGTTGAACATCTTTGTGGACGAGAGCGGACAGCGCATGCGGTTTAAGAATCACAACTCACCTGTAAAGGTCGGTGTCGCTGAGAGGCACTTGGGACCTCCATGCCGGCCGGCACGTTGACGTTAGTGGCACCGCCGCCATCCACCGCATGTGGTGCGGCTGCGGCGGTGTCCTTGTTGAACAGCTCCAGATACGGCCACCATGGCGGTTTCTCCACAGAACCGTTGCCCGAACCACCATCACCACGCTTGTACTCCCGCCAAAGCAGCATCTGGTTGCGCCACTGCTTTTGCAACGCATTGACATTCCGGCACCAACCCGGGTTCGACTCCTTGATGTGCGCGAGAAGGCGGACCCAGTACTGCGTCCCCTGCTTCCCCTTGAGCGGCTCGAGCTCGTCTTTCATGAACCAACGCGCGGCGGCGAAGATAGTGCTTTCCTTATCCGACCATAAGCCCCTTTCAACTGGTGCAGCAGGCCGCTTCTTCCTTGGCTCCTGTCGTGGCGGTGGATCAACCGCCTTGCCTTTGCCCCTATCCGTCCCTGAGGCGCGAGCGGCGCCCCGTTTCGGCGGCTGTGCAAGAGGTTGCTCTTCCTCCTCCGCGTCGTCGTCGGCGTCGTCATCGTCGCCGTCATTGTTGCGGTCATCATCGTCCGACATCCCAAGGTCCTCAGGCTCGTCCTCCTCGTCGCCGCGGTACTCCTTATCATCGTCGTCGTCATCTTGCTCCACGGCGGGCCGCACAGTTGCCGCCGTCCTTGCAGGCTGACGACGCACACGCGAGGGGCCCGCGCTGGGCAACTGTGCACTAGAACCCTGCCCGTCAAGCGCGGGCGGCGTGGACAAGCCAGTCGGATGACGGCCGTTGACGATCTGCTGGTTCATCCAGCGGATGTAAGGGATGTCGTTAAGATCCTTGGGGCAGTCGCTAAGGGACTGGCCCTTATGCTTACGAGCCATGCTGGCAGTGCGGGTGTACGTAGATCTAGATCTGAAGGGATAGAATGCAAAGCAAAAAAGATTGAATGTGACAGGATAGACGGTGCACCTACAAAAGCCCGTTGTGTGTTTGGAGGAGCACGAATTGTGCGGAAAGAGCATTGGACTTGGGGGGAAAGTGCGCTGGCGGGAATTGCGGGGGCCGGTCAATAATTCCGGACGAGTCCCGTCAACCAATCAGGGTCTAGTGTATGCGTTGATGGGGATCGTCGGGTCTTTGGGATGTTGTCCAGATACATGCAGCATGAATTGACATTTGGCACCGCGTGCGATAGATGGAAAGTGTTGCGCTGGCGACTGTTCCGTATTTCACGTCACCCAATGATAAATACGTTTGGCGACAAACACGTGCGGCGTGGCGTTCTTGTCAGAATGTTATAATTGTCTAGCCTGCAGTGGGGTACTCTATAGCGAGTACAACCCAATTAGGGTTTCCTATATGTATGCCAACTGCTGCTAGTGAACTCTCTCCTTTCTGCTTCTAAACTTTTCTGCTCGTACTTGTAACATGGTTTCAGAGCAGGTCGACTCCCTTGGGTCGATCCTGTGGGTGGGCCTGCCACCTAACTGCTTCCGCTGCTGTTCTGCTCTCGCGCGCCTCGGGCGTGAGCCGTCTTCTTCCTGCCGCCGTGCGCTCGGGGCGCGCGGCGAGTTTCTGCCCGCCGTGCGCCCCGAGGCGCGCGGCGGTTTCCTACCGTGGGGGACCCGCGCGCGCCCCCACCCTGTCCGTCGCGTCGCCCTGGGGGACCCGCGCGCTGCCCCCGTTGCCCCGTCGGTGGTCGCGTCGCCCCGCCACCCCATTGCGCCGCCCTGGGGAGCCGCGCGCGACCCCCCGCTGCCCCGTCGACGGTCGCGTCGCCCTGGGGAGCCGCGCGCGACATCCCGTCGACCCTCGCGTCGCCCCCCCCGGGACCCGCGAGCCGCCCCTGGAGCCGTGCGCGACCCCCCCCGCTGCCCCATGGTGGCGCCCTGGGGGCCGCGCGCCTTCCCCCGCGCTCCTACCCCGTGCCACCCGTTTTAGGGTTTGGGGGTGGGGAGTGTGGGGGTGGCGGTTGAGGGGGTGCCGGTTGTGTGCTCCGTCCCCTACTCCTCCTCCTCCTCCGTCTCCCGCTGCTGCAGCTGCCGCTCAGGGGGGTGGGTGTGTGGGAGCCGAAGGAGTGGTGCTAGGGGGGTGACGTGGGAGTGGAGCTAGTGGTGCAGCAAGGGGTGTGTGAAAGGGGGTGGGACAGTTGGGGGAAGTTGAGCGGAGGCAGCAGTCGTGTCGCCAGCAGCGCCAGTAGTCCGGAGGCTACAATCTCCGGTAGTCGCCAGTCGCCTGTGGGTCAGTTGCTCCTGTCAGGAGGTACACCCCACTTTGGCTATGGGGGTGTGTCAGAATGTTATAATTGTCTAGCCTGCAGTGGGGTACTCCATAGCGAGTACAACCCAATTAGGGTTTCCTATATGAAAATCTAATTTTCCTGCCCAGTTGAAATATCAGTAATTGACATCACAATATCAATAGGTATCATTATCACCACGATCATCAAAACCAGTCTCATTGTCGCATTACGGTAGAAGAATCGGTGCTCTCAAGCTCTTGCATGAACTGACGGCCACTTCCCCTTATGCACTTGGCTCGTCGTATTGCATCTGCCGTGGCTTGCTCCTTGCGCTTCCTGACCTGCCTCTTCTTTGTGCACATCCAAAGCTCCACCACCTCTTCCTCTACGTCATAGTTTGGGAGGTTGGCACCAAGTCTCCATGCTTGGCGTAGCAGGGACTCATAGTCTGCCAGCTTTAGATGAGCTCGCGGGCGAAGAAACGGCAGCAGGTGATGCATCCTTGAATGTCGCCGCTACTTGTGGTGTATCCCAACATTCGATCTGTTGACATGAACTGGGTGTTGGCCCCGCACTCGCTTAGGTGAAGCCAATCTCGTGGTCGTGTGCGTGGGAGGTGCAGCTGACTGTCTGCACTGGGAGCAGTCGACTTGGGTGTGCGAGAAGATGGTTGAATTGCGGGCGACCGCTGCGATGTCGCCGTTAAAGGGAAGCCGACAGCCTAGTTCGACAGGAGAGGTCGACGAAGCAGTTGGTCGACCTATGCGGGACTTGAGAGCAGCCGTCGAGGGTGGGAGTTTGATGGCAGCAGCGACCGAGTTGGTCAACGGAGGGGTCCATCGACCAGGGTGGTGTGCGATAGGGTAGTGGTTGATGAGAAAGGTTGTTGACCAGGGCGCCGGGCATTCGACCTATTCGACCAAGTAACCTGCTCGACGAGATTTTGTGGGGGTGAACATCGTCGAAGTCGCGATGGTGAAGGTGACCTCGGGCTGGTATCCCGAGGTCGATGTGGAGCCTCTGGCGCAAATGTCGGCATGTGGCCGACCTGGCACCTGCCCGACGATAGAGTACGTGCTCGATCGCGGCGCACCTGCGAAGTAGGTGTGCACATGCGCTACTGTCACCTGCGGTTGCAACGTTGGCAGACCGTTTTGCTGCAACGTGTCAACAGAAGTTGGGTGTTGGCCTCATCCTCGCTTAGGCGGAGCCGACTTCGTGGATGAGTGTGCGAGAAGTGCAACCGACCGACTGTAGTAAGCAACACCGACTTGGGCAAGCAGGTTGACGGATTTGGTCGACCTGCACAATGCCACTGCGAAGGCGCCGACGACGGGAAGCTGGCGGCCGACTTCTTGCTGGTGGTCGACGAAGGGAGTCATCGACTTGGGGGACACCGACTTGTGGGCGCTGACCTGGGGAAGCTGACTTGGTGCAGTCGGCGAACAACCATTCTGGTCGACCAGGAGTTGGTCGACTTGGGGAGTGGCACACTTAGCGAAGTCGGCTGGTGGTGGTCTACTGGATGGTCGACGGGCACGTACAACAGTTGGTCGACTTCTACCGAGCAAGTCGACGACGACTTGGTGGTGTCCCAGTTGACCAAGTTACCAGGGCGAAGAAGTCCTGCAGAGTGCGTGATCGTCGCCCAGGTGGTATATGGCAAAGTCGACCTGGAAGGTGGTATTCCGAGGTCTACGTGGTTGATCACGCGTAGTCAACGGCACGTGGTCGATTTGGCGTCTGTGTTGTGCACGTGACGGTGCACGTTGCACCAGCCGACTATGAGCACCTGCGAAGTAGCGGGTGCAATGCTGGACAGACGCCTTGCTGCAGCGTTGGCACGCCATCGACTTGTAGTGTTGGCGAGCCACCTTTCTGCAGCGCTGGAGTGGTGCGGACTTTGCAGCCGCTGGAACGCGGTTGACCATGCTGCACTGAACGTCGATCTGCTTGCATGCTAGGAAGACTTGCTTCTGATGTAGTCAGCTTTGCCAATGTTGTTGCTATAATTGCTCAAAACTTTTGTTAGTGAAGCTCTTGTCAATTCTCCCCGTGAGTGCGTGCATAGAGAGAATACGAGCAAACGCTAAGGAACGCAACAATCATGATTGGTGCACGCCGATTGTTGCACGCCGCCGGAAACCAACGTCGAGCTGTGTGCGGAGTTTCGCACCGCTCACCTGCTGACCTTCGTGGTCATCTTATGGTGTTGCTCGCCAATGGTGCACATCACCCAGAAGCCATGCCGAAGTTGACTGGATGCCGGCCACCAGGCGTTCATCACGTCGACTTACCAGGCTACAGACAACCTGTACATCGGCCATTTGGAGGAGCAGCTGACGCACCTGAGGATGGGCGAGTAGGAGCCGGCAACAAACTACAGCAACCGAGCTCGACAGATCCTGGCCAACATGAGAATGGCCGGCGTCGTATATCAGTCACGTCGTCAAGGGCTTGCCGAGCGGCTCCGACCTCATGCGGTGAATGATGGCGATGCCCGGCAAGCGGAAGTCGCTTAACGATGACACTCTGACATCGCACAACATCGAGGATGAGGCAATGCAGGAAGCCGAGAGGTCCACGGAGCTCGTGCCGCAGGCTAACTACGTCGCCCCAACGAAGTAAAGAAGTCGGTCAGGGCAGCGCGGTAAGCCTGGTGGTGATGATAGCGGATGTGGAAAGCCGGCAAAGGACGCTGACAAGGCAAAGTCGGCTATAGATAGCGGCCGTGGAGGAAGAGGTTGACGACAGGAGTGCTGGCTGTGCGTGACCCTGACCACCTCTCTTTCGAGTCTCCCGACCGGGAGGACTCCGATGAAAATGACACCAAGTGAGGCCGAGGCAGGTCAGCCGGTCGTTGTCCTCGATGGGAGAGCAAGCCGCGCAAGGAGAACCAGCCGACGAAGTCGACGATGTCGGCGAAGGACGCCGACTCCTCCTTTGGAGGCAAGGGGCGAGGCGACGGCGAGGCATCGTGCTCGCTGGTCGGCGTCGTGGAGCTGACCGTCTTGCTGGCGCTGGAGGCTGGCGAGGACTTCAAGGCAGCGGTGGCAGCCGTGCAGGCGAACCCGGCGGTGATTTTGCTCGACAGCAGCTGCTCGCACCACCTAATGGGGACGAAGGAGGCCTTCGTCGACTTGGGGCCGAGTGGTGCCGTAAAGCACGTGCGCGGCTTCAATGGGGCGTTGCAGACTGTCCAAGGCCTCAGTACCATCGTTCTGCAAGGGGAGGCAGGAAAGCGGGTGTTCATCCTCGACGTGCTATACGTCTCGGGCATGTAGGCGAACCTGCTGTCGGCCGGCCAGCTCTAGGATAACGGCGTGAAGCTGCAGGAAGACGGCGACGAGATGCTGCGTGTCTCGGCAGCGGGGGACATCCTCGGTCGGGCTAAGTGCACCGGCTGGATCCTCTGCATCGACATACGACCTTGCACGCCGGCGTCAACGTTGGCCACAATGAAGGCGGTGGCCTTGCGTAGACCGCAACGGTGACGAAGTCGACACCGGACAGATGGCACATGAGGTTCGCGCATGTCGGTATCGACACGATCCGGAGTTTGACGAAGCACGAGGTCGCCACCGGCCTGGACATCAAGCCGCCGGCCGGCACCGACTCTTCGTATGTCTCGTGCGTCGACGAGAAGTTGGCGCGGCACACCTTTCCCGACAAGGGTTCGGACGCCGACGACGCTCAGGTCGTCGTGCACATCGACTTGTACGAGCCGTTCTGAATGGCCACCAAGGACGGTAGCCTCTACTTCTTGCTGCTGAAGGACCGCAAGACCCGCTATGTGTGGGTGAGGTCGGTCTTCCAGAAGTCCACGTGCTGCGGGAGTTCGAGAAGTGGCTGCTGGTGGCTGAGCGGCAGACGAAGAAGTCGGTGCTGATGCTGCACTCTGACCGCGGAGAGGAGTTCCTCGGGAAGCAGTTTATCGACTTCGTGAACGGTAAGGGCATCGTCCACGTCTTGACCTGCCAATACACTCCGCAGCAGAACAGCATGGCGGAGCTGGAGATGCGGACGGTGGTCGAGTCGGTGCGGACAATGCTGCTGCACATGGGTGTGCAGCACCACTGGTGGCACCTTGGCCTGCCGCAGGCCGTCCGGGTGCGCAACTGCTTGGAGAGGTTGACGCTGCCACCGGGGACGACGTCGTATCAGCTGCTGACCGGCAAGAAGCCCGACTTGACGCTAGCTTGTGTGTGGGACTGCATGGTGCAGCTGCTGGTGCCCGAGCAGCAGCTCGGCGGTAAGCTGGAGGCGAAGGCCAGGTGGGGGCTTCACCTCGGCGTGTCGGAGAAAAGCAAGGGCTGGGAGGTCCTCGACCTCACCAACAACAAGGTGGTCACCACGTCGGATGTGGTGTTTTACGAGACGATGTCGCTGGAAGTGTGGAAGGCGGATCACGGGCCATCGTCGAGGCGGACGCAGGCTACCCCGCCAACCGACACCTCGACGACGACACTCCCATTGCTCGCTGAGGTCGGCGAGCCTGTTGTTGAGGACGTCAAGGAGTCCTCCCTCCTCCCCCTGCTCCTGTTGCCCCACCCATAGTAGCCGACCTGCATGAGCTGACGACGGCGTCGGCCTACGGTGATGAGGGGAGTGTCGCGATATATATTTCATATACATTTATAACTGCCTGTAGCAGCTTTAGTGTAGTTATTTTCCCTTGGTGTTGGTGGTGCACCTTTGGTTTGAACTATATGTTGTGTTGTTTTCGCATTAGTGAACAATAATTCTCGATTCTCTCCTGGCACAACCATCTCGACACCCGCTTGGCCTAGGCCCCTAAGCCTAGGCCCTTAGTATACCCTGGTTTCTAGTAAAGTTGCTATTTGTGACAGGGAGCAGTGGGGCGTCGCCTGTGGCGCTAGCCAGTGGCATCGCTGGCGGCCGACGTGATGTCAAGCAAGTTGGAGTGGAAGCAGAGTTGATGAAGATAGGGGAGCATGTCGCGATATATATTTATATATATTTATAACTGCCTATAGCTTTATCTTTAGTGTAGTTATGTTTCCTTGCTATTGGTGGTGCACCTTTGCTAGTTTGCTATATGTACCTTGTGTGCTATAGTGAACAACACACATTCTTGATTCTCCTTGGCACAAACTCCTCGACACCCGCTTGGCCTAGGCTACCAAGCCTAGGCCCCTAGTTAAACCCGGTTCCTAAGTTAAGTTAGTCTTGTAACATGGTATTGAGCGATTCAGACCTAAGTTAATGGGCCCACCCATTCGCGGCACGGCGCTCGCTGCGACGGGCACAGCGGCGAGCTGGCCGCGTTTCCCTCGTCGCCAGCCCGTCGTTTTTTTTTTCCCTCGTCGCCTACCCGCCGCCAGCCCGTCGCGTTTTCCCCCGTCGCCAGCCCATCGCGTTTCCCTCGTCGTCAGCCCGTCGCGTTTCCCCCCCGTCACCACCTCTGCCCGCGCCTACGCCTGCTGCTGAGTTTGCGCGAGAGTGGGGAAGGAGGGGGGGGGGGGGGGGGGGGGGGGGGGGGGGGGGGGTGGGCATCGGGAATGAAGGGGACGGCGTCCATGGTGGTCGTTGCGGCCCTTCCCCCCCCATCCCGTTTTCTTCCCTCCCGTCGCCTCGCTCCGCCCGTCGCATTCCCCCGCCCCCCTGCCCGTCACCCCCCCCGTCGCGACTGTTCGCGTGTGCAGCGGCGGTCGCTGTGGGTGGGAGAGGGAGGAGGGGAAGGGATTGGCGTCGGAACGCTGTGGGGGGGAGAGGGAAAGGGGAAAGAGAGTGGCGGCGGAATGCTGTGGGGGAGAGAGGAAAGGGGGAAAGGGAGTGGCGGCGGAACACCAGCAAACACCTCCAGCGCACCGGCGATCGCACCAGCGCTTGCGCGCCTCCTACCGTCAGATCCCGCCCGGCCTGTAGCCCGTCTGCAGCTCGTCCCACCCATCGCGCCCCATCAGCACTAGGCACCAGCGCCAGCCACCAGCACTAGGAACCAGCACCAGCGCCAGCCGCCAGCACCAGGAACCAGCACCAGCGCCAGCCGCCAGCACCAGAAACCAGCACCAGCGCCAGCCGCCAGCACCAGGAACCAGCACCAGCACCAGCCGCCAGCACCAGGAACCAGCACCAGCGCCAGCTGCCAGCACCAGGAACCAGCACCAGCACCAGCCGCCAGCACCAGGAACCAGCTCCAGTGCCAGCCGCCAGCACCAGGAACCAGCACCAGCACCAACCGCCAGCACCAGGAACCAGCACCAGCGCCAGCCGCCAGCACCAGGAACTAGCACCAGCACCAGCCGCCAGCACCAGGAACCAGCCCAGCGCTAGCCGCCAGCACCAGGAACCAGCACCAGCGCTAGCCGCCAGCACCAGGAACCAGCACCAGCGCCGGCCGCCAGCACCAGGAACCAGCACCAGCACTAGCCGCCAGCACCAGCGGGGTTGAGTGGGCGGGTAAGGGGGTGGAAGAAGTAAGTCGGGCATTTGCAGCCGTTGCCTGTCACAGGCACGCCCCCGGAGGTGCTGAGCGGTGCTGTCCTGCTGCTTGTTGCAGCCACAGCGCCTGCTCTCCCGCCCACCTGCCGGGTCTTGCACCTGTCGCTGCTGCATCTGCCGTGGCTGAGGTCACTGTGGCTCTATCTGCCATCACTGCAACTACTGCCTGTAGCAGGCACGCCCCCGGAGGTGCTGAGTCACGCTGTCCAGCTGCTCGTTGCAGCCACGGCACTTGCTCTCACGCCCACCTCTCGGGTCCTGCACCTGCCGTTGTTGCATTTATCATGGCTGATCAGTGTTGCTGTTTCCCCTGCTTCTTCTACCTCTTGCCAAGGTTCCGGGGGTGTGACTTGCTCTAGTTATGTGCTGCAGGCAGTTAAGGGGGTGTGTCACAATATATATTTATATATGTTTATAACTGCTTGTAGCTTTAGCTTTAGTGTAGTTATGTTTCCTTGCTGTTGGTGGTGCACCTTTGCTAGTTTGCTATATGTACCTTGTGTGCTATAGTGAACAACACACATTCTCGATTCTCCTTGGCACAAACTCCTCGACACCCGCTTGGCCTAGGCTACTAAGCCTAGGCCCCTAGTTAAACCCGGTTCCCAAGTTAAGTTTGTCTTGTAACAGAGCAGAAGGCGGTGGAGTCGACGCCAACAAAGGGGAAGTTAGCAAAGCAGGCGTTAGCAGAGAAGCTGCTGATAGGGGAGCAGCCCGCAGAGAATCTGACGAAGGAGCCGTCGGCGACCCGCCAGTTGGCAGGGGAGCCGACGACAAGGGAGAAGTCGGCAGAGCAACTGACTTTGGAGCAGCAGTCCGACGAGCACGGAGAAGATAGCAACGATGAAAGTGAGCGGCCGGAGGACGCCGATAGCGATGTGGTAGATGTCCCACCTGGACCGCGGCGTTCGGGCCGATTTAGGGGGCCGCCGGAGCGGCTGACCTATCAAGTGTGCCTCCTGCCGGCCGCCTACACCACTCTGTACGACGATGCGGACGCCGACGACGACCCGCCGGAGCTCGACCGTGACATGCACGCCGACCCCGATACCGCTGGAACATCGCGACAATGATGGTGAAGGAGGCGCTAGCGAGTTGGAAGGGCAAGGCGGTGAAGGCCGCCATGGACGAGGAGACCCGCAGCCTCATCGCCAACGGCACATGGGTGCTGGTCAAGCGGCCGCCCGGGGTGAACATCATAAAGAACCGTTGGGTGCTGATGACCAAGTATCACATCGATGACACCGTCGAGCTTGAGAAGGCGGGGCTGGTCGTGAAGGGCTTCACACAGGTGTATGGCACCAACTACGATGAGACGTACGCGCCGGTCAGCAGCTACGTCACGTTGAGGATTTTCCTCAGCATCGTCGTCGTCCTCGACCTCAACCTGATGCAGCTCGACATGAAGAACGCCTTCCTGCAGAGCAAGCTCGACCGGGCACTGTAGATGTACTTGTCAGAATCCCAACCACTAGACCATTGGGATAAAAGGGCTTGTTTAAGTAGCGGGTCAGAGTGCGCCCATAACCCCCCAGGCGAACGCGCCTGTAACCCCCCTAGGATCAATCGGGCATCCACAGTGCAGATCTACTGACACCCCCCCAAGCAAACGCGCCTGTAACCCCCCTAGGATCAATCGGGCATCCACAGTGCAGATCTACTGACACCCCCCCACACTGGGAGGCCCAGGACTGAGCATAGCGGCAACGGCCTACATGTGCATACACCGGGATTCGAACCCGAGACCACTCTGACACCATGTCAGAATCCCAGTCACTAGACCATTGGGATAGAAGGGCTTGTTTAAGTAGCGGGTCAGAGTGCGCCCATAACCCCCCAGGCGAACGCGCCTGTAACCCCCCTAGGATCAATCGGGCATCCACAGTGCAGATCTACTGACACCCCCCCACACTGGGAGGCCCAGGACTGAGCACAGCGGCAACGGCCTACATGTGCATACACCGGGATTCGAACCCGAGACCACTCTGACACCATGTCAGAATCCCAGTCACTAGACCATTGGGATAGAAGGGCTTGTTTAAGTAGCGGGTCAGAGTGCGCCCATAACCTGACAGTACTACCCAGAATACTACACCGACGGGACCAGCCTGGTGTGCAAGCTGCTCGAGAGCCTCTACGGGCTGAACCATTCGCAGCTGCTATGGTACAGGGCACTTGACGCCGCGCTAATTAACGCCAACTAGAAGAAGAGCTAGGTCGACGAGGCACTTTACTTCAAGGTCGGCGACGACGGAGTGACCTGCTGGGTACTGGTCTACGTCGACGACCTGCTCGCCGCCAGTAGCAGCCTCGCGATGCTGAAAGAGCTAAAGGAGCTGCTGGAGGCCGCCTTTGAGCTGCGCGAGATCTCGCCGATCGTGAAGTACCTCGGGCTGGAGATCGTGCGTGACAGGCTGGCGAGGAATCTGTGGCTCCGCCAGTAGAGCTACATTGATAAGCGACGCCGGCGCTTCATTGACGAGGAGCAGGGTGGTCGGATTCCGAAGATGCCGGTCTCCGTCGACGCCTACGCTGAGCTGATGTTCGACGATGAGGAGGCGCAGGAGCATGAGGAGGAGTACCGGTAGAAGGTCGGCTTACTTCAGTTCACAGCGACAATAACAAGGCTGGACATCGCCTTCACCTGCAGCAATCTGGGGAGCAGCCATACGGTGAGGAGTGACCAGCACTGGCGCGAGGTCGACCGCTGCCTCGCCTACCTCGCCGACACCCGTAACACCGCCCTGGAGTTTGGCGGTGGACTAGACCGAGGGCTTGGGGATAACGGGCAACCTTAAGCACATGGAGAGGCGATATGCCTGGCTGCAGCACATGGTGAAGCGCGGAAAGTTCACACTGAAGTACATCCCGACCACCGAGCAGCCGGCCGACTTCCTGACGAAGGCGCTGCACTTTCTGGCCTTCAACCGTTGCTCTGTCGCAATCGGCCAAGTGCGCGTGGCCGTCGTTGGTGACGGTGACGACAATGTGAAGCAGTAGGTGCTGTGCCCTTTTGCATGGATGGTGCAGTGTCCGGCGTGCTGTGTGTTGTGTGCAAGCTGACGACGACGAGCTTTTCTCCGTGTAGTTCTGCTGTGTGAACGGGGAGCCCAAGTGTGAACGCGGCAGGGGAGTGTCAACGAGAGTTGGGTGTTGGGCGGAGCCGACTTCGTGGTCAGGTGTGCGGGAAGTGCAGCCGACTGTCTGCAGTGGGCAATGCCGACTTGGGCGAGCAGGTCGACGGGCTTGGTCGGCCTGCACGATGCCACTGTGAAGCCGCCAACAACGGGAAGCCGGCAGCCAAAGGGAGGTGACTAGGTGAAGCTTACTTGGTGCAGTCGGCAAACAACCATTCTGGTCGACCTGAAGTTGGTCGACTTGGGGATTCCAGACTTGGTGAAGTCGGCTGGTGGTTGTCGACCTGGATGGTCGACCGGCACATACAGCAGTTGGTCGACTTCTGCCGAGCAAGTCGACGACGACTTGGTGGCGTCTCTGTCGACCAAGTTACCAGGGTGACGAAGTCCTGCGAAGTTGACATTGAGGTGGTATCCCGAGGTTGAAGTGACTGATCAGGCGTAGTCAATGGCATGTGGTCGACTTGGCGTCTGCGTTGTGCACGTGACGGTGCACGTTGCACCAACCGACTACAAGCACTTGCGAAGTAGGTGCGCTGTAGTCATGCGGGTGCAACGCTGGACAACCAACTTGCTGCAGCATTGGCACGCTGTCGACTTGCAGCATTGGCGAGCTACCTTTCTGTAGCGCTGGAGTGGTGCGGACTTTGCAGCGCTGGAACGCGGTCGACCATGCCATGCCGGAAGTCGACCTACTTGCATGCTGGGCAGACTTGCTTCTGATGTAGTCAGCTTTGCCAATGTTGTTGCTATAATTGTTCACAACTTTTGTTGGTGAAACTCTTGCCAATTCTCCCCGTGAGTGCGTGCGTAGAGAGAATACGAGCAAACGCTAAGGAACGCCGTGATCACTCTCACAACCGTGCCTCCCCTATGGTCTAGCTCCCGTTGTAAACGTCATCTGGCACAACGTTGGCAAGCCGCCTTGGTGCAGCATTGGCGAGCCGCAGACTTGCTCTACTGGCGGATCGCTCATCTGCAATGCTGGCACGGTGCCTCTACGCAACACTGGCAGATGTCGACCTTGCTGCACTGGCGGTCGACCAGCTTGCCTGCTAGGTTGCTAGGCTCTGATGTAGTCATTGTAACCATTGCTTGCTCAATCATTCTGTAATGCAACTTTCCGTAGTGAAACTTTTGCCAAATCTTGGTGTGACGCACAAGTCCTAGAGAACGCTGAGGAACGCCACGATCACTCATAGAACCGTGCCTTCACCCCTAGACTAGCTCCCATCGTTGTAGAGTGTATCTCCGAATGGTATGGTGAGCGTGGATCGAATGCGCGAGGTACCGCGTCGACTAATCACGTACCTAAGTCGTTCGTAGGCCGGTTGCCATCCTAGTCGCCATGGTAGGCCAAGAGCCAAGAGCAGACGTAGCAGATAACTTGCAGACGAGGGAGGCTGATGCGAGGAGACGTTACGAGGCTGGCGAGTTCGGGCCGAAGCTTCCCTTGGAGATGTCCTCTTCGAAAACCGCACGCAGTGGGTGAAGGAGCATCCTTCTCGACCTGCCTCTCCTCGAGCGGTACGCAACAAATGCGGCATCGACGTGGAGGTTGAGGGCAGTCATCAAGTTGATGGCAGTGAGGGCACGAAGAAGAGAGGAGTGATCAGGTCCGCTGACGTGGACATCGGCGGGATGCAGGCGCGAGTGCAGCGGTCGACGGCGGCTGCATGCAGTTCGCGTGCCGATACCGGACGAGGATGACGTCGAGCTGCACGGGGAATTCCATTCTGCTCACCTGCTGACCTTCATGGTCATCTCGAAGTGCTGCTTGTTGATGGTGCAGATAGCACTGAAGTCGTGTCAACTTCGACCGGACGCTGGCCACCAGGCGTGGCGGTTCAT